AGAAAGATAGATAGAAAGATAGATAGATAGATAGATAAATGGATAGTTGGATAGATAGACAAATAGATAGATAGATAGATTTATGGATACATATATAGACAGAGAGATAGATAGTTAGATTGATAGAAAGATAGAGAGACAAATAGATAGATAGATGGATTGACAGTTAGGTAGATGGATAGATAGATAGATAGAGAGATAAATATATACAAAGAGAGATAGATATATAGATAGAAAGATATGTAGGTGGATAGATAGATAAATAGATAGTTGGGTAGACAGATAGATAGATAGATAGATAGATAGATAGATACATACATACATACATGGTTAGATAGATAGATAGATAGATAGATAGATAGACAAAAAGGCACACAAATAGATAGACAGACAGACATAAAGATAGACAGATAGATAGATTGATAGATAGACGGATAGATAGATAGATAGAGAGATAGATAGACAGTTATACAGATAGTTAGATAGATAGATAGATAGATAGATAGATAGATAGATAGATAGATAGATAAATAGATGGGTGGATAGAGAAATAGTTAGATAGATAGATTTATGGATAAATAGATAGACAGATAGATAGATAGATATATAGATGGAAAGATAGACAGATAGATAGATGGATAGATAGATAGATAGGTAGGTAGATATATAGACAGTTAAATCTGATGTTGGATAGATAGATAGTTAGATGTATGTGTATTAATTTAGGTAAATAATTCATGGATAATGAAATGTGTTGTTGAATTATTTTTAACGGATCCGTATAAATAAATGCATTGACAGACAAACAGACAGATAAATAGATCACAATTCACAGGGATTCATTCGACTAGGTGAACTACAGTAGAGAATTTGGGAGTGGAATTGAATGTAGTGAATGTAGATCAGTGGATTTCAATGAACGCTGATGTGCAGTATGATTTCATTTGTATTTGCTGAAAGGACCTCCTCGCGAATCCAAGGTTATCAAATATTTCTGTATTTATTTTTCAGAATACAGCGGCGTTGACGATATCGAAGGTAAGTCTCTGTCGTTTTGTTGATTCACAGCATTCTTCACAGCCTTAGTGAGATGTCCATTTCACCATGCCCAGACTTCTCACACTCACTCCATCACACACTCATACGCATTCCGATCCAATAACTGACATTTTCTGACGTTGATGATTTCATCGATTGATTTATTTGATCTGTATGCAGCAAAGTTGTTTGTGTTTCCAGTGAGTGAGTGAGTGAGTGATTGAGGGGTGCAGTATATCATCAACGTGCATGACACTGCATGAGAAATTCCGCCGTCCGACCACACACGATCCACGAAACACGCATACACACCCCTAAACACTGCAAGTCACAACACTCACTCAATTCAATTTCATCTTATCACATACACAAACGTCACTGTACCCTGTAAAACAGG